CACCTTCAGTGTGGGGGTCCCCACTGGGGTGCCTGGCCAGCCTGGGTGAGGGGCTGAGGGCCGTTTTCAGGCTGGCCACAGCCCCTTCAGGGTGTGGATCCCTGCTGGGGTGCCTGGCCAGCCTGGGGAGTGGCTGATGGCTGTTTGCAGGCTGGCCACAGCCCCTTCAGAGTGGGGGGTCCTGCTGGGGTGCCTGGCCAGTCTGGGTGAGGGGCTGAGGGCCGTTTTCAGGCTGGCTAAGCCCCCCAGTGGGGACCCTCACCCCATGAGGGTGTGGCCATCCTGGGTGAGGGGCTGATGGCTGTTTGCAGGCTGGCCACCGCCCCCAGCCACCCAAGCTCCCAGTGGAGGCTGGCTGGAAGCAGGTATCTGGGATTCGTCTTCTATAATTGAAACTTTGTTGCCATGAGCGGAAGCCACAGCCGGCTCAGGGCAGGCAGGAAGCTTGGCTTCCTTCATCGCCCGGGCAACCAAGCCTCCTGCTTGCTCTAGCTCCGTGGCTGCCGGCCACCATCTTGGTTGGGTTAATTTGCATTTAGTCACTCTGATTGGCTGGTGGGCGTGGTTTGGGACGTAGCAAAGTTACGGTCAATTAGCATCTTTGTCCCTTTTTTTAAAAATATATTTTTATTGATTTCAGAGAGGAAGCGAGAAGGAGAGAGATAGAAACATCCATGATGAGAGAGACTCATGGACCGGCTGCCTCCTGCACGGCCCCTACTGGGGATCGAGTCCACAACCCGGGCATGTGCCCTTGACCTGGAGTCGAACCCGGGACCCTTCAGTCCACAGGCTGACGCTCTATCCACTGAGCCAACCCAGTTAGGGCCTATCTTTGTCTTTTATTAGTGTAGATATATATATACATGAAGATGTGCACGTTTTATTGTGAGACTTCTAACAGAGATGATCTTACCTCTGAAGTGCCTCTAATATGAAGGACTAAGATCCTGGTTAATAACTCAAGATCTTACTCATGTGATATTCTTCTAGCAGGCAAACTTGGAAACTGACTAGTTTTATATTGAGACCACTTCTTCTGCCCACACACTTGCTATTAAATTTGGAGATGAGTTTCTGGAAATGCATGCCTAAACTGAATATAAACAGAACAAGGTTATGTGGCATTACGCCTTAGGAAATGAGTTGTCACGGTCAAGTGGTGATTGCTGTCTTGTTCTTTTAGAAATCCCTAAGTCATACCATTCATCTGCTTATAGTATCTTATAGCTGTTATGTCAAAGGGCTTCAACCAAGCCTAAATGTGGTCTTTACCCTCAATCATCTTGAGGTGCTGTAAAACTTAAGTCTGAATTCTACCATGATAATTTCTCTTTGAATCTTTGTGTTAAGTTCAGGACTATTACTTGTTGACCATAGGTTAAACTGTTCCTCCAGACACAGAATAAATGGCAGGAACATAACTTTACCTAATTCATAGGGTGAGAAATAATGCTTATAAGACACTTAGCATGATGCTTGGCACGTGCTAAACACCAATAAATGCTGGATGTTGCTATTGTTTCTATTAGGTGAGCTGCAATTTGAATTGGGACATTCAGAAATTTTTATTTTCTACTCTACTATATTGCATCTTTTAGAATGTAAGTGGGCTAGTTATGCATGTATATTTTCATGTGTGTTTTTCCAACATGATTTTAACCCATGGTGAGCTTGTCTTTACTCACAACATTTTGCCAAGTGTGGGGAGAGTCTACATCTCTTGTGATACCTTTTTTTTTTCTTACCTGAAATCACATTTTACCTTTAGTGTTTTCATATTTTTACTTTTATATATTGAGTTTTACTTTGATATTTTTCTACTGTTTATAGAAGAATGTAGAAAATTGTTTGTAAAATAGCCATGACATCTAGAACTATATTAGATTCTTTATAGATTTTATATATTTTGTGTTTTCTTTAATAATGTTAGCACTAGTGACAGAGCTTCTTTCAATGTGTATATTTTTATCAATGTTCCTTCAGGAGGTATGCAGTCACATCTAATATAATAAATGTATTCTTCTGTAATCTTTGCGTAGTTAGTTTTCTGGTGCAGAAAATGTGATTTAAAAAAAAATTACCTATGACTGCATGGGTATTTCTGACTATATTTACTATAGTGCAGAAATTTGATTCTTCCCTCAGATCCACATTACAGTAAATCCTTGGCATTTCTTGCATTTGCCTCTCTCTGATTTCTTCATGTTTACAGAAATGATTATAAGGTCTTAAACATCTTTGTATTGTGTTACAATAACAGATTATCATTCTTCTTATTCTGACTGACACTGCTTGAGCATACAAACCATGGAGCAGGAAGTATTTTACGTATTCCAGGATATATAGCTTCTTTTCAAACCAAAATACTAAGTGGATTGCACATTTCTAAAACAAGTCTGTTTTGGGGTCAGTGCCTTGTACTTAATCGGAACTTGTTTTTGCTGTGTTAACTCTTACATTGAAGAGTCTAATTGCTAGCTTTAACTTTTTAACCTAGGGGTTTGTTTGTTTTTTTCAGAGCTCTGAATCAGATCCCCATAGTACTCTTAGTTATACTCCCTTATACCTCAACATTTTGTTGTGGAGAGGTCTACAGTGGTTCAGCTTTGTTGCCCATTTTAAATATTGCCTTGAGCCCTAGCCGGTTTGCCTCAGTGGATAGAGCATACTTAAGGACTAAAGGGTCCCAGGTTCGATGCTGGTCGAGAGCACATACCTTGGTTGCAGGCTTGATCCCCAGCCCTGGTCGGGGCATAGGCAGGAGGCAACCAATCAATGTGTCTCTTTCATATCGATGTTTTTCTCTCTCTCTCTCTGTCTCTCCCACTCCTTTCTACTCTCTCTAAAAATCAATGGGAAAATATCCTCAGGTGAGGATTAATAAATAAATAAATAAATAATGCTTTTCAGTGCATTTTTCTTGGTATCTTATAGTTTTTCCCCCATACAGAATTCTGGTATTGCTTCCGGCTCTTCGCAAGGCAAAGCTACATAGGGCTTTTCCAGCTTCTTTTCCTAGGCTTAATGAAGTTTTTTTCAACCCAAGTAGGGAGAGAAGAGAATTTATCAGTGTTTAAAGTGTGCGTGCACATGTGTGTCTTAGTGCATAAGAGTGTATCTTAGTGTGTAAGAGACAAGTACAGGCTTCAGAGTCAGATTTATGTTCCGATTTCAGGTCCAGCCCTTCTTATCCATGTGACCTTTAGGTACATTATTTTACTTTATCATCTTTAAAGAGGATTAATGACACCTATCTCATACAATTGTTCTGATTTTTACTTAAAAGAATTTCTAGAACATAGAGGATGATCAGAAATGATACCCCTTCCTAGGGAATAGGTTTTAGTTACTGAAGAAAAGCTTACTTATTCAGAAATAATGGGCAAAATCCATCCTATCCAAGCATAAGTTATTTATTGTCATTTGAAACCAATACTTTGAAAAAGCTATAAATGGGCTGTGCAAATGGAGGTATTATTTTATTTAGAGTCTGGTGTGTTGAAATGTACTCATGAACTTTGCTATATTGATGCAGGCAGTTGAGTTAGTTGCCAAATGGATTTTAGTGGTTTGATATTCATCTTACTAAAAACTAAAGGACCTGAAATGGTTCTCTAGCCACTAGTTCAAGTTGAAAGCATCTCAGGCAGGTTTTTACACAGAGAGAACATACCAGATATTTAGTTAGCTTTTCTGAGAACTGCTTGCTATGATATTCTTTCCCCAGGCATTTGTACACTTTTTTTCAGTACTTGAAGTAATATTAAATATTATCCAAGAATACCAGTGTAAAGTGTCACAGAGTCCAAATGTTGTATAATTGATTCTTATAATAATATTTGCTTATGTGTAGTTATATGAAAAGGACTAAGATTTGGTCTTGCAGCAGTTTGATCTTTTTGTGGAATTGCTTTAGGTACATGTACTAGCTAATTCTGTGTTTTCTATAGTATTTCATATGTCCACTTCCCCTGGGTAAATTGATTTAAATCATCTGGAATATTGGAATTAATGTCATATCTCTTTGTTCAAGTACTAATTATTTTTAAGTGAAATGCTACTACTTTCAAAGTCTTCTTCCTTAGTTCCATCAGTTATTTTCACTGATTTTTCTTTAATTGAAGAAAGAACATCTAAGGATGGTGTCCATGCATTTGTGTATACTCTCAATTGATATAGCAGTAATATAAACAGAAACAGGAATAATATCATAGTTGTGCATTTAGTTTTAAATAATCATTATTAATTGCTGGGCATATTGCATAAATGACTTCTACTCCAGATCACTATAAAATATCTTAGTATTTTCCCTTCTTATATTTCTGCCTAAATTTTCAATTGAAATAAACAAAAAAAAAGTGAGCAAATCATGAATCAAAATTTGAGACAGTACTGAATTCATGGTTTGCTATGTTATGGAGAATAACTTTCTGTTGTTTGTTTATTACTGTGTGCTATGTGAAAATGACTGGATCTTTTTGGACCACGGTGCTAAGATTGTGTCCTTCACAATTTTGTATAATAGTACAAGGCCCTATTTCTTTTCTAAACAAGGAAAATATTTTAACTTAGAATGCCACACATAAGCCAAATATACTTACTTGCCTCTTGGTACATCAGTGTCCTAAAGCTTTTAGGAGAAGATGGTTTAAAAAATTGTTTTTATGTCTAGATTGTAAGTAAAATCACTTGTCACAGTGAGTTGCAAAATGCAGACCTTCATTCAGACGCTGCCTGTTTCTCATTTAGATCTGACACATTAAAAAGCATATAATTAATGGTTGACATTAGTAATTAACATTAACTTTATGGTGCTTAATATGCCATCATTCATCCATCAAATAACCAGAATTGCATAATGTCTTAGCATAAAGGTTTTAATTATATAAAATGGTCCTTCAGTTTTCATATGGGATAAATGTTAAAAGTCCAAAATGTATTTAAAGATTTTTGTAACGCGTTTGTCGGATGTTAGCTATATTTTTGTTTCTTTTTAGGAATATGCATCAACAATTGTGTCAGGAACTTCAAAAGGAAAATGTGGACCTAGTTGTGCAGTCTTCATTGTCGGCTAGAGAGCGCCACCTTGCTGCAGTTGCCAGTGCACTGTGGAGACATTTCTTTTCATTTTTGAAGGGTCAGAGAATGTCACAAGCAGTGCCTTCCTCACAACTTGCAGATGCTGCTGCAGGTCAGCTTTGTAATTTGCTAATTAGTTTCTCATTTTTCAGATTTTCTCAGTTTTTCCTTCTGTTGTTTGGTAACAAACTTATTTTATAACAGTGTAATAAATATTTTGACAACCAGATGAAAAGAATTACATTTGGCTTGTTTATTATTTTCCTATTAATAAAGGTAAAAATTAAGTGGTTATTTGCTAAACATAAGATAATGTTCAGTCTTAATATTATTGAATGTAGATAAACTTTTCTTATGCATGCAATATTTGGAAAGTAAATAGCATTTGATTTATTCTAGTCCAAGTTATTTATTTTCAAATTATATGTGTCAATATCTCAGTATCGACACATGTTGTGTAAAGAGCAAAAGAATGTAGCAGGAGTTCCACTTCAATACCAGCCAGGTGAAATCAGAGTGATGTCGAATATATAGAATGTTATTGTTCTGATTCTATTTTATGTTGTAATTTTTACTTGATTTGATTATTAACCTAATGACATTTTAGGCTCTAAAGCAGCGGTTCTCAACCTGTGGGTCGCGACCCCTTTGGGGGTCGCCTAAGACCACCAGAAAACACATATATAATTACATAAATTGTTTTTGTGATTAATCACTATGCTTTAATTATGTTCAATTTGTAACAATGAAATTGGGGGTCACCACAACATGAGGAACTGTATGAAAGGGTCGCAGCATTAGGAAGATTGAGAACCACTGCTCTAAGGGACTCTGAATCCTATGACATTGTAGGCATGAAATTGAATATATGTGCATATATGCAGTTTTCTAAGAAGAGGGTTCAAAGGATATTTTGCCCAAAATATGTTAACAAGGACTGGAATAGACAGAGATCAATATGGTGACTGTATGTCTTTAAATGCAACTTATGTGAAGGTGTTTAATATATTTTATTCTAATGCTTTAAAAAAACCAAGGTTTATTTTATTGTACCCTTGTACAGAATTTAAAAGATCTTGAATTCTGGTAGCACTTCCATAATTAAAACATAAACAATGATAGATTGAAAATTTCTGACAGGGCAACGGTTTTCCAACTACTGTGATGTCTATGAAAACAGATATTGATATTCAATCAGTATAATCAAAGCAGTCATTAGTAACTGATGTTACTTATCTTCCATTCTTCATCCCAGTGAACAAAAATGATAGCACACAAGTTTAGTTAATGCTGTCTAGGTGCTAAAAGTAAGTGGGTTTGATTTACATGTAAATGTAAATCAAAATACATGTGGGTTTGGGGTTTGTTTTGAAATAAAGATAGGTTAGGAGAGAAAATTTTCCTGCATTTAAAAAAAACCAAACCAACTGTTGATGAATATGCACTTTTATTGCCATTGGGAAAATACCAGTAGGAAAAGGACTGTCATGGAGCTTATAGTCTAGTGGAGGGACAGAATAATAAATAAATAAGTAATGTAATATGATAATAAGTGCTGTGGAGAAAAATAAAAATATAGAATAGGCTAGGGATAGGGTAGGCCAGGGTCAGGTTCTACTTTTATTTTTATTTTTTAAATACATTTTTATTGATTTCAGAAAGGGAGAGAGAGAAACATCAATGATGAGAAAGAATCATTGATTGGCTGCCTCCTTCATGCCCCTGCTGGGTATCGAGCCCACAACCCAGGCATGTACCCCTAACCGGAATCAAACCCAGGACCCTTCAGTTCTCAGGCTGACATTCTATCCACTGAGCCAAATCGGCCAGGGCTGTACTTCTAAATAGAGTAGTCAGGGAGGCCTGAGCAAACCTAACGGAGGAAAGAGGTCCATGCTATGCAGAAGTCCAGAAGCAAGAGCATTTCTGGTGTGATTGAGGAACTACAGGGAAACCATAAAAGCTTGTATGGTTCAGAAAGGGAGAGAGTAGTCAGAGATATGATCAAGAGGTAATGAGAGCTTGCCCCGGTTTCTGTGGCTCAAACTAGTTTGTATTCTACCTTGTATGCAGTTGTAAAGCCTTTTGCTTTACTCTGAGATTGGAAACTGTTGGAAAGTTTTGAACAAATGAATGATATCCCTCTGGCTGCTATACTGACAACAGACTATAGGAAGGCAAGGAGAGAAGCAGAGAGGCCATTTAGGGGACTATTGCAACAGCACAAATGAGTTTGGGCTGAAGTGGTAGCATAGAGGTTGTGAGCAGTGGCCAGATTTCCAGTCCAAAGGTAGAGAAAGTATTTTAAAGGTAGAGCTGACAGAATTTTTGAAGTGGGTATGATATGGTAAGCAAAATAGATAAAGAGAGAATTCCCTGTGTGTGCTGAGATGAGGAAGATTGTGGCAGGAGCAGATTTTACGAGGGCAGACTAGAATTTTGATATTGGACATGGACATATTTTTAATATCCATTAAAATTCCAGTAGGGATGTAAAGTAGGCATGTGGATGAACCTAGGGTTCAAGGAAGCGGTCCAAGCTGGAAATTTAAATTTGGAAACTACTGATAAATAAATAGTCTATAAAGCTATGAACTAGATAAGATCACTTGTAGAGTTAAGTATTGGTGAAAGAGAAGTTTGAGGACAAACTTCAGATTTGTAAGGTACATAGTAACCAAGAAAGGAGACTACAAAAGGGATGCCAATGAAATAAGAGAAAACCAAGAAAGTGTGATGCCCTGGAAATCAAATGACAGCATTTCAAGGAAGAGGAAGTGATCAGTAGCTCAGATGCTGTTAATGGGTCAAGTCAGATGAGACCAGGGAACCGATCCTTGGATTTAGCAAGAGGGAGGTCACTGGTCACCTTGAAGAGAAGAGTACTTTTTGGTGTGGTGGTAGAGGCAAAGGCCTGATTGAAGATGATTCGAGAGAAAATGTGAAAATAGGAATTGCAGACTGCATACATAGATAAATCTTTTTGAGTATCACTGTTTACAGGAAGTAGCAGAATGGGAATGTTAGCTAGAGAGAGACGTGGAGTCAAAGAGGTTTTTTGATAACTTGGGAGACATTTCAGCATAATGCGGGAGTGGGGAGAATTGATGGTGCCAGAATGTCACTTGTTTTTCAGTACCCAGTAGAAATGGGATCCTGTAGAGGACTTGGCCTCAGATTATCTGTAATAACAGAAGAGAAGGCAGAGTAAATGGGCCCCCTGGAGGCGGCTGGGTAGATGTGGTGGGAGCTTGTGGTAGTTTCCTCTGATGTTTCTCATTTTTCTGTGAAGTAGTAATTAACAGTATTAGCTAGAAGTGAGAATGGGGAAGAGAGAGGGTTTGCAGTGCTATAGGAGAAAAAAAACCCAAAACTGAAATGGGCTAGAGAACTGTAGGAATGCCGGCCAGTTCTAAGGGCCCACGTAAAGTTTGCAGTTACAAATTTAAAGTGACATCAGTCAGCGTGGTTGCTCACCAGCCATTTACTGGTGTGGATACATGTAGGGAGAAAACCAAGAGTTGGAATTAAACAGGTGGTGTCTTTTCCAGGCAAGCACAACAAATTAAGGGGGTTGATGGTATACACAAATGAGTACAATAATGGGCCATGCAATCAAGCTGCCTAAAAAAGGAAGGAAGGCATCAAGGCAGTGAGGGACAGGATAAAGGTTGTAGGATCAATGAATTGTAGGTCCTGGTGAAATCAAAGACTTGGTGGGAGTTGAGAACCTACAGGAGGAGAGTTGAAAAGCTAGTTTGGTACCAGAAAGTGGGTTCCTCAAGAGTTGAAATTGTGGAGAGATTGTATTTATTGTTAATGCCAAGGTCTCTTGGTATCACTGTGAGAGAGAGATTCGTTGAGGGAGACAATTTTAAGAAACTGAAAGGCCAGGATACTGGGAGAACCTCATCAAGGATTATGACGAGTGCTATTAGTATGATAGTGAGCTGCAGTCTTTAAGGAATGAGGGTAGATGAACTAGGAAGCAGTAGATAAATGTAACAAGGAGAATTAGTGGATGGAATAGTCTGATGACATGAGAACCAAGGCTAGAGGTTTTTGGAAGGAGGAAGGGAAAATATTTTAGAAGCAGCAATAAACTCACCCTATCTGTAGGGCAAGTTGTATGAGAGGTTTGGGAGAATAAATAGCCATCGTTTGAGAAAGCTGCATGGAGCTAGTGCTTAATAAGGAATTTATTGACAAACATAAATTAATATAGTACAAATTAAGTTTGCAGATTCCCTAGAAATCACAAAATAAAGTATATTTGTTTAACATAGTTAATTAAGGAATTCTAGTTCCTAGGTTTAGTGGGTTCTGAAGGAAGCGTAGTGTCATAGATTCTTTGTAGGTCAAGTTTTAACAGAAGAGAATGTGCAATGTCTAAGAGTGAACTATTCATCTGTGGCAGGTGGCAAGTAAATTAGCCTGATTGGAGAAGAGCAGATGCCAGAAATGGTTTTCAAAATGGGTTTTTGAATGAGGAAAGCACATTAGAAACACCCAGGTTATAATTTGCAAATTGAGGGAGCCATTATAGATTCATAACAGTAATGCTGAGATAAATTATCTGGGTGCTTTCTTAGAGATCTAGATGATTACAACAGAAATGTCTTTGAAAACATTTCAGAATTTAGTTCAGTTTTAGCTTTTTGTTCTATGTTTCTAAATATGACATTATGTAGGGCTAATTTTTTTTATCACTATTGATACAATTTTGGGAGGGCAAAAGGTTTTTTACAATTTTTCACCACAAGTTTCTCTTAATTTATATCTAGATTTTACTTTGCTAGCAATGGACATGCCCAGCACAGCTCCATCAGATCTTCAGCCTCAACCAGTTAAAGCAATGATACAACTTTTTGGTTGGGATGATATCATCTGCCCTCTAGTTGCAGCAAAATATTTAAGTCATTTCCTCCAAAACAGGTGAGTAATTTTATTTCAGGTATTCACATTAATGTATACCCATGATAGATCAGGACATCAGGAAAGTAAAAAATTTAATAAATAAAACCTGATCTTTACTATACATACTCACATTTTGCCAGTTTCTTGCTTTTAGATTTATCAGCATTTTGTCAGTAGTAGTAGCTGTAGAAAAGCTAACCTATCAGTCAGAGCATCTGCCCTCTGATGGTCAGTGCACGTCATAGCGAGCGGTTGAGCGGCCTTAGCATATCATTAACATATTACGCTTTGACTGGTTGACGGACAACTGGATGACCGGACACTTAGCATATTAGGCTTTTATTATATAGTATTGTATTATTTTCCATACGGACACTGTAAACCTCCTTTTGCCCAACCCTATACTTATCTACAATGTCTTATTGTGTGTATCTGTAGTGTTCATTTTCAGCAGTGCATGTCTGCATTAGTTGCATTTGTCTATGAGGCCAACAGGTGGGGAATGTTCGAATTTTTTTATTATTATTATTCCTTAATCTCTTATACTCAAGGGAACATAATGATGCCAGTTTTTATTTTTGTTTTTAATATCTATCAATTTATCTTTCAGCATGTTATGTGAAGCACTTTCTTATTCAGGCTGTGTATCTTTTCAAGCCTTAACTATAAGATCATGGATCCGTTGCATTTTGCAAATGTATATAAAAAGCCTCAGTTTACCTGATGATTTATTAATTGATATAAATCTGGAACAGGCAGTTGGTAAGTATTGCAGGTGTTGTGCTTTCTAGATAGCTAAATATATTTTAAATTTTCTGTTTTGTGCCATAAATTAAGAGAAAAGATAAAAAAATATATTTTTAATTAGCTATGAATATAAACAAAAATTTATTTCCTTTTGCAGCCCATTTCTTTTTTCCTGATATTTTCCTGTTACTATATATAATAATTTCTTTCCTGTAAAGATAAAAGAACTTGTTTCCTTGGAAGCCAAAAAAAAAAAAAAACTTGCTCTCAGGTGACAACCATCTTTTACTATACCTTGAAGAAACTGATCACAAAATAAGGTGGAAATATGAAGTAAATAACTAGATATACACTGTGAAAATCCTAAAATGAAAAATATCCAATTATGGATAATTCTCTCCTGTTTTATTAGATATTTTGCTTTGCTTTTGCTGTATATATAATCATTGAGTGATATTTCTGCCTTTTTTTTTTTTTTATTTTATTGATTTTTTACAGAGAGGAAGGGAGAGAGATAGAGAGTTAGAAACATCGATGAGAGAGAAACATCGACCAGCTGCCTCTTGCACATCTCCCACTGGGGATGTGCCCGCAACCCAGGTACATGCCCTTGACCGGAATCGAACCTGGGACCCTTCAGTCCGCAGGCCGACGCTCTATCCACTGAGCCAAACCGGATTCGGCTATTTTGTGCCTTTTTTAAAAAAAATATTTCCATACAGTTCTGGTTGCCTGTAGGGCATGCCTTTTCCTAACGCTGTTCTTTATGGCCATTTATGAATTGCACAAAGGCTGGACTGAAAAATGCTCCACACTTACTTTGATATGTTATTACATCAGTTGGCTTAACATGAATAACTTCTTTAGGGCTGTGTTGTTCAAACAAGTACATGTTTATTTTTAAATAAAACCTTTCCTTAGTGACAAAAAATTAATTCAAAGTTTTTAATTATGTGGAAATTTGAATTTTAAAGGAAAGCATCTCATAAATTAAGAATACCACATTTCCTGCTCTCTTATTCATATACATATAAAATATAAATTTATATAATAAACATTACATAAATATCGTTACTTTCTTTTAACAGAAAAAGAGTACATGGAACAGTTGTCCGAACTGACAAGGTTGCTGTTTAAACTCTCAGAAGTAAAGAATATTTTCTCAGAGGCTCAAGTTGAATATTTACCCACCCCAGAAGACCCTAAAAGAGCACTAATTCAATTCCTTGAGGTATTTCTCACTTAATAGTATAATTAAGATATACTATCATATTTCCAAAAACCTTGAAGTATTCATAGTGCTTTTCTATAAAAGGAAATCTTCTAAATTGAATCATATTATTGGGTGCCCAATATTATGAAATTCTGGAGGATTAAAAATATGGATCTAAGGTAGAGTACAATTCACTCTTAAAGGCAGAAGAATTACATTTAATGAAATACAGGAGGAAAGAATGCTATGTATACTAGTAAGCCTTTCACCTTACACTAAAGCTAACCTAAATTGTAGGAATATCTTATTGTTGAAATGGTTGGATAACAATATTCTTTAGGTGCTTGGGAACTAAATTTTCTTGTATGTGGTTCATAATACTTCGAACTAACTGTTTACTATCCTGTAATAAACAGTGTAAATTTTACAGTAAAAAATTTAATCTCTTCAGCATAAGCAGCACCTACTTTATATGATAGTGTGATTGGGGCTTTAAAATTCAATCCATTTGTTCTGTCTCCATAAAAAAAAACTTCCAGTCAACATTTTATTTTCAGTTATTCATTTTGTAGGAATACATGTGATAGTTTTTCCTTTATTGCCTAGTTGAGGTTATTAATGTGTTTGGATTTGTGTTTCTCTAAGCTATTCATAGTAAAAGTTGATTTATTTTCCCACAAAGAGATTGGTTTTGACTGCAGTGCAAATAATTAAAACCCATAAGCTTTTTTTACAAATGTGAAATCTTCCATTGGTTTTCATTAAGTTCAAGTACAGTTTTATGACAATTAGCAATGTCAGATAAATTCTAAAAATACCTAATAATAGTACCTGCAGATATAAAATACACATTTTTGCCTAGTCGGTGTGGCTCAATGGTTGAGGTCACTGTTCAATTCCTGGTCCAGACACATGCATGCTTGATCCCCAGTAAAGGGCATGCAGAAGTTTCTGTCTCTCCCTCTTCCTTTTTCTCTGAAATCAATAAAAATATATTTAAAATAAAATACACATTTTTGTTCAATCTTTTATTTGGTGGTTGATTGTATCTCAACCTGTAATTAATTATAGATTTATGCCAGTAATCGTCCTGGACCAGAAAGGGAGGTAGAAGTCATGCATTCCACTGACCATTTTGAAAAGCTCTTTTAATTCAATCCTGTCCACATTAGTTATTCTCTTGGCAACCAGTAAATAATAGTTGTGTGCTAAATGCTAGATAGTACATACTATGTTAGGATTTCTTAGGGATTTGAAGAACCAAAAGAAGTAGTCCTTGATCTTAAAGGACTTGTCTGAAAATATAGAATATACACAAAGGTTAAAATAATAATATATGACAGTACAGTATATGGTAAGTGCTAATTAGTTGATAGATCAATCAGTAGATTAAGAATTCAGAGCATCTTAGTATAAAAAGTTTGGATTTTATGCCATGAACAGTGTGAATGCTTTATACATTTTTAAGTAGGTCTAATTTGATTAAATGACTTTTCTGGAAAATTAATAACAATAGAGTGGATTCAGGGAGCATCTGAAAGCTCTTTGACTTTAACCACCTGTCTCTCCTGCTCTCTGAGTGACATCATCATGACTTTCCACTCTCTTTTCTCCAAGTGCAACATCCTCTCAAGGTCTCACTTGATTACCTATCTACCTGAACTATATCCCTGAGGGTCTCACTTCAACTACCCTTACCAACACACTCAAAGTCATCTACCCTTTGTCTTTTGGTCACACCTGCAAACCCTCAACCTTGGTTTGGTGCAACCGCTTACTTTCTCTCTGTCTTATCTGCTGAGAGCTGCAGTAGAAAAATCACCTAACTGTATACATTGGTACCATTGTGTCCAGTTCAGGTCATTGAAATCCACCATAAGTTCCCAATAATAGTTTGAGAACTTTAGTACTCAAACCTTCTAACCCATCTCTAGCTAGTCTCTTTTGTCTTCTATTCTTTTTGTGCTTATTTTCACCCTTCCTCAGTTTATTCTTTTATTGATTTCCTCTTCTTCCCACTTCACTGTTCTCCTTACTATCTCACTGTCTCATCTTACATTTCTCTCTTCCATCTCCTATTTTCCATCTCTACTCTTTGTGCCTCATCCTTTTTTCCTCTGAGGAAGCTAAGCTGGCATCTAATGGCTCATAAGGAAAATTTTTTTTGGGGGGGAATCAATTCATAATCTCAAAGCTGAACTTTATAGAGGTCTTACTTGCAAAAATTTGGTAACCTTTGTTACCAAAGGTCTTCTTTGTATGAATTTTGGGATTTCGAATTTCCAGTTTTATGCTAGGATATTTGGAAGTCTCTCTGTGATTTTCGTTATAAGCTTCTTTCACGTCTTTTTACTAATATTTTGCTGAGTCAGATCTTGAATGAATAATTATTGGTGAATTGTTTTTTTTGTTCTCACTTTAACCTTTATTTTAATTATTAAAAGACAATTCTTTTTAGTTGCATTTTAATTACTGTGAACATTTATTGAAAAGTTAAGGATGAAGGCTTAAATATAAGGTATGTGTCTAGAGAGAGAAATTAACCTTTATTTTTAAAAGTCTATACTTTATAAAACTTGGAAAGCTAAATCATGTTTTCCCTTATTTATAGGCTGTTGGTATAACTTACAGGAATCTGCAAAAACCTTCTGATAAATCTGCCATGGTCAAAAAGTCCTTAGAATACCTTGGTGAAATATTAAAATATATAAAACCTTATTTGGGGAAAAAAATATCCAGTGCAGGGCTGCAACTGACATATAGGATGATGGGTATGTATTTCTGACATTATTAAAACTTTGTGAGATTGAGTCTTTTTCATGATGGATAGGAATATACTAATATAGTAGCTAAATCACCGTTCTCCTTACAATCATAAGAATAATCTGAAAGACAAAATAATTCATGTTGGCTTTTAAGCGTATCTCCGTCTTGCCCCACCTTCCTTCAGAACTTTTCTTGTTATGCTTGTGTTAATATTAAAATTAATTATGATCAGTACAGAAAATATGCCAACACCAATTTGCTATCAGTAGTTTGTTATGAATCACTTACATTGTGAATACCTGGATAACTAAAATGGACATTCTTTTTAGTACTTACCTATGCTTTGTTAGAATTTGAAATATCAGAAAACCATCACTTCCTTTTATTTTTATGGTTTGCTCTCTATGAAGGAGGTCAGGAAAGAATTTATTACAGCACTGAAGATATTTATGCTTCAAACCTTGTTTCTCCCAACATTATGTTTTCTTCTTTCAAAAAGAAATCTTTTTCTGTGCCTGTTCTGTAATAACAAAGTGCATCCTTCTTTAAGAAGTCACTAATTTGAATACCTTTGTTCTCTAAAATCATGTTGCTAACCAAAAATAGGAACTGGATAAAGAGAAATGAGAAGGATTTCTTCAGAAGTTTTTATACAGAATTGAAGGTGTTTCATTTTTTTTATTTCTTCTATGGCCAAAACCTTATATCTGTTCCCTTTGATCTTGTAAACATATGAATAAAACTGATTTGGGCTGTGTGAAACCTTTTATATTTGTTGTAAAATATAAAGGAAAATTTGAAATGTGTAAATATGGATGTTTTAGAATGTAGTGAAACCTATAGTAGCAATTCAGGCATCTTAATTTTAGAGAAAAATATAAGTGAGAATTTATCATAAACTTAACATAGTAGAATGTAGATTAATAAGTATTTCAGCATTTAGGCTTATACTTTATTAGTCTGCCAAGCTAATATGATTTCCAGGTATATCTTTATTTTTACGAGATATATAGTAGACTTAACCAGGAACTGCAAAATCATTTTTGGATTGGTAATATGTAGATCCACAGCAAAAGTGTCCTGATGAAGAAATGAGGGCCTTGTTTGTTTTGTTACAAGATTGTTTTTAATTTATTGGAAGATTGATTTGTATTCTTTCCTTTTGTCTAGATCTCATAGACTGGGAATAGAGTATACTGCTACAATATTTCCCATTTAACTTATTAGAAAGTTTAAACCTGTTCTAAGTATGCAGAACTGGGATATAATATCCTCTTGAGAGAAAGGGAGTGAATCATTGAAATTTTGTGCTTTACCTTGCCAGATCCTAACTGGGAATACTACTGCTATTCACTTGCAAGGTTCAAACTTTTGATGAAATCACACTTCAGATTAAGGCATCCGGGGTCTTCATTGTAACTCAGTGACTTTTTTTTTTTTTTGAGAGGAGAATTGATAAATAAGTAATATTTTCAACTTTCCTCTTTATATCTTTTTTTTTTTCCTCTAGAGGCCCAGTGCACGAAATTCGTGCACTGGGGAAGGGGGAGGGGTTCACCTCAGCCCAGCCTGCACCCTCTCAGAGTCCGGGACCCCTTCTGGGGATGTCCACCTGCCAGCTTAGGCCCAACCCGCCTGCAGTGGAGGTGGGAGAGGCTCCCGCCCCCCGCCATTGCGCTCGCTGGCATGAGCCAGATTCG